CAACTGCCTTCCGCTCAGTAATGGTCTAAGCTGAATCCTTTGCGACCTTCCCTCCATTTTTATAAAGCACTACATTTATGTGAATATATATTTTCATAAAATATCTTATATTTACAGAAAATATAAAATAAAATGGTTTCTATTAGATAGTTATACATATTATTAATTTTATATTTCATTTATTTTTAACATTTGTTTTGCATAAGTCAATACCGATATAGTTCTCATTTGGGGGAGGGTGTGTCTGTGGAGACTGAATAATGGACACCATCATAAATTGTTTGCATGTACTCTACACAGATGTATTTCCTCAGCCCAGAAATTCTCTGTTTATTTGGAGGGAGCTGGACCTCTCAAGCAGTGTGTGGAAGCTGGGGATCACTCCTGGTGTTACTCAGCCTGGTTATGCAGGCCTGATGGTGCCTGGGCTGAGGAGGAGAGTGCTAGAGCCTCCACAGTGCTGGGGCTACCAGGGTGACCCCCACAGTGCTCACGGAACCCCAGGGTTATACCCAACACTTAAGAGGGCCATGTAGCACTGGGGATTCAAGTAGATCCTTCCTGCATCCATGTGCTAGTCATTTGAGTCATTGTCTCCATCCCTGGGTCATTCTTTTAAAACTATTGTACAGTGTTGGATTATAGTTCTGAACATTTTAAGAAGTGACATTGGTTGATCTTTTCTCTTCCTGCAGGGAGTTTTATTGAGTTACATCCACTACAGTACTCCCGAGGCACATCCAATTCCATCAGGCACGCCCAATCCTCTGCGTTTATCTTTAACCTCTCCTCTTCCCCCCCGCCCTACCTGTTAATCACATATATCCCCAAATCAGATTCTATAACTTGTAAAGCCAAATTCTTCTGAGGGGTCTGGGTTTTTTGCATTTAAGTGAAATATTGCTTTTCTCTTCCCTTTATATAATTTGCAAAGTTTCTTTTAGAGCAATGTCATTTTTTGTACAGACAGAGGAAGACTGTTAATGCTATGCTTATTGACTCCAAATAATATTTACTCTTGGGCATCCATCATATTTACCTAACTTAAGGCTTAGTTGCCCTTACCTTCTAGCACCCCAAAAGCAGGGTCCCAGAAAGGGACAAGGATGGACCCAGGGCAAGCTGTAAGCTACCCTGGCATCAAGAGGACAGGATGAGTGCCATAAGAAGTGTAAGTTAAAAATCACAGTCATGAAACAAACTGGCATGACCCAAAAAAATAATGAGTAAGGACCCTACTGGGATTAGGAAAGACTAACCAGGCCTGAGGACTGCAGTCTGGAACATAGTGAGATGTCCCCAGGAAGAGGCACCCTTTAAGCTTAATATCTTATCTCTTTCTGTGTCCATACGAAATGACTAGAAATATTATTAAAAGCAAATTTAAGATGACTGTTCAGATGGATTACTAGCTAAGGAAAGGAGAAAGCAATACAGTCTTCGGCAGATCTCCCACTAGGGATCTGAGTGACTAAGTAAGATTCCCTAGAGGAAGGGTTTTATATCTGTTCATTGTTTATAATAATGTTCAACCACATCTATGTGTAATTGCTACACTCAACCCTTCGTGATTTCTCTATAACTAAAGCTATTAGACTTGAATAAAAGGCCACTGACACCAACCAGCCAGGTGGCCCCTGTTCCTAGTCTGCTACCATGGGGGGAGGTTCGGACACAATGGTGATTGACCCCGAACGCACCAAGGGGAACCCTGGGTTGCCACGGGTAGGCTGGTGACCCCAGGAACAGCAACAGTACAAAAGGGGGAAAGTTACTTAATTGCTGTCCTCAGTTTCCCACCATTCTTATTGGAATGGGATGAGGGGAGGCACTACCTGGTGGTGCTCTGGGCTTACTCTTGGCTCTGTGCCCAGGGATCATTCTTGAAGTGGTGCCAGTGATCAAGCCCTGGTAAGGCTACCCCCTGTACTATCCCTCCAGCCCAGTTTTCCACTATTCTTTTGCTGGTCCATTCCTTGGGAGTTCACTAAATTGTGTAAAGATTGAGGAAATTCTTCAAAGCCTGGTCTTTAAAATTTTAGGGTGTTTTTTTCCCAAGGTTTACTACCTCAAAAAGCCCATTTCAGAAGTCAGAAAGACAGCCCAATGAGCTGAGTGTGTGCTTTGAATTCAGGATACCCTGGATTCCCAGGATCCAGAGGTTCTGCAGTAGCTCAGCGTGTGGCCAAAACCCCCTACTCCTGCCCCACCACCAAAGAAAAATCCATTTAGTTTCTCAGTGCTGTATTCCTAACTTTAGAAAAGAACCTTGAATCTCCATTCTCATGGCCAACCTTAATCAAATTTAACCTTCATTCAAGTTATTAAAAAATTACCTTTCCCTTTCAATTGAAATGCATGATGTCTAAACTTCTGCACTGCTTAAAGTTCAGTAAATGAAAAATTTATGGAGCATGGAGAATGGTTTGGAGAACAATGAACAGGGAGGCAAGAAAACCTTAGACTACGTCAATAGACCAAGATAAAATATGTGAAAACCTGAACAGAAACCATGATATGGATGGAGAAGAAAACAGCATTCTTGAGATATTTCACATCATTGATAGACTTAGTGATCAAGGTGGAGGACAAGAGAGAAATGACCAAGACGGTGGCAATATGTTTAGTTTAACTGATTAGGAATCATTGGCAGTTATTCAAGAAGCGAAGGAACACTGCAGGAATGATAGGACTGGTCTTAAAATCTTTAACTGTGATGTCAAGGGAAGGAAGAGCCAACAGACACAGACCTAAGAGTAGATGAGGAGACCCAGTAGAGAAACAAAGGGACAAATGAAAGCCGAACATAAATTGACCAAATGTGAGAGAAAATGGCCCCACGTGGCACACACCAGAAAGGAATCTAAGAGAGGAAGAAATGAAAAAATGTACAACATGAACATAAATCCATTACTTACCTTCTTCTCAATCTGGATCTCTTCCAAGCCTCTCCATTTTTATCACTGAGACTACCTTTGCTTAAATTTTCCCACTCCTCTGACTTCTAAACTCAGTGCTTGCTTAGCATAGTGGATAAAGTCAAGGACTGGAGAGTCAAATTTCCTAGGATCAAAACCTGCTCAGCCACTTCCCAGCTCTGTGACCTTGGGCAAGTGACATAACAAAAACTTTTGTGTTTTGTTTTCCCATCTGTCAAGCACTAATATTACTTCAGCGGGTTATTATAGGAACTTATGCTTTAAAGGCAGTTAAATTAGAAACTTTTAACTTCTCAAAGCACTCAGAACAAGTACCTGGAATGTACTCTATAGAGCTTTTATTAAATTCATCAACAAAGGAAGCCTGCCAAGTTTAAATATGGTCTTTTCTCATTGTCATCTGACACCAGCTGAGGTTTCCATTATTTCATATACATGATCAGCTCATCACTCTACTATAATTGATTTTCTGAAAGTTCACTAATGATCTCATAACAAAGAGTAAGCATTCTCCAAATAACTTCCTAATTGTCCCAGTGAGTTCACAGTAAAGTTCTCCTCTCTTCTGGATCTTTTTGGTTCTTGGAATGCTGCTCTCTTAAAATTTCTCATCTCTCTGCTACTATTCCAAAAACTACTAGCTCGAATTCCTCTCTGTGCTTCAAAAATGCAACCATTCCACCCAACTACTCCCTTGTTTCTCAATACTCCTTTCCTAGTTCCAGGTATACACCTAGCCTTCACCTTTCATGAAAAGCTTACCACTAGTCACAACATTTAAACTGAGTTGTGAATCTGTGCTTCCAGTCTTTATGGCACAGCTTTATGTGGTTATCTCACTAGACCCACTCAGTACATTCAAAAAAGTAATCTTAAATTTTCACTAAGCTTATAATTTTGTTACTGATAGGGGCATCAACATTCTTCAGATCCCAGAGGCCAAAAACTTAGTATCAGTTTTGGTAGCTCTTCAGTAACATCTAAACCTGGCCAGCAGTCTTCGGTAATTCATTCCAGTTTGTTTGGCCTCTTTCCAATAACTGTCATAATTCCATTCATTGCTTCACTACCTCTCACTAGGTAGATCCCACTATCCAGTCCAAGGAGTACCCAAGCTTTTTCCAAAAGAAAGAGCTCAGCATCCGTTTAAAGAAATTCCGTTACTGCACGCTGATCTCCTGAACACCACCCTACCGATTTCCCATACAAAACTCGTCATCTCCTTTCGCCTCCAAGTTTTACCATCTGGATCTCAGCCTTACAAGGTAAAGCCTTACAGCCTTACCCTGGCTCCCGATCTCCTCCTAGGCGAAAGAGGAGGCTCCCCTTCCCTCCTCTTCAACGAAACATTCACATGCACTCCTTTCTGCACCTCGCTGCCCTCCTGCGCCTGGGATCTGAAAAGCTCCTCTTGGTCCCTCCTCCTCCTCCTCCCGCCGAGGGGACCAGACAGAAGCAGCCAAGCAAAGGTGCATCTCCAGCCTTCCCGCCAACTTCCCTTTAGAGTCCACGCGGCCGTCTCTCACGGAAACGCAGGTCCCCGGAGCATTTACTGGTTTATCCGTGATTCCCCAGCTGGACCCTGCAAACTGCAAGGACAGCTTACAAATCCGAGCAATTTGGACTAGTGCTCGCGCTAAGCGAAGGTGGCCAGTGTGCAGGGAGAGCCCGGCCACGGGGCCACCTCGGACAGCGTTCCTCGAGGGTGAGGGCGGACTGGAAGCTGTGGCCTGGCGGGGGCTGGGGCTCTACCACACGCTCCCGGTCCAAGTGCGGGCCCCCGGCCCGAGGGGCGCCCAGGAGCGGGTCCCTCGGGCATCCTGCGGGCTTCCCGGTCCAGACACTGGGAAGCGAAAGGGGCGGGGCACGACGTGGGCTGGGCCGAGCCGCGCTCCAGTCCCGTCCCCCCCCACCCCTCCCCACCCTCCGGGCCGAGGCCGGCCCCCTCGGCCCCCATCCCGCGGCAGGTCCCGGCCACTGCGGAGCCCCCCCAGGGGGGCTCGCTCTCCAGAGCCCCCCGCACCCCTGCCCGGCGCTCCGGCCGCCTCCGCACTTACAGACCCGGGGGAAGGCGCCTCCAGGATCCCGCACCGCCAGGAGCTCCGGCCCCTCGGGGCTCCGGGAAGGGGGAGGGGCGCGGAACCCGAGCCAAAGGGGGACCCAACGGAACCGGAAGGGCAGCCCTCGCCGGACAGAGACCACTTCCAGGTCCCGTGGCCGTCTCGGCCAATCGGAAGGCTCGGAGGGCAAGAGGGGCGGGGAGCCCGGGGGGCCGGGGGCCGGCGCGCGGGACAGTGCGCGGCGCGGGGGCTGCTGCTGCCCACCCCGGCCCGGGCCCGGCCCCGCGCGGCTCCCGCCCACCCGCCTGCCGCGCCGCCACCGTCCGTCCGCCCGCGGCTGCGTGGGCCTCGGCGCGTGGCCTCGGTAAGTCCCTCCCGCCTCGGGATGTGGACTCGCACCGCCCGCGGGACCCCCGACAGCCGCCGGGCCGTTGGGGTGGTCTTTGGTCTTTAGCCCGGGCACCTCTCGCGTCCTCCCCATCGCCTGCAGCGTGCCGACGCCCACACCCCTCGACGGGCCACCCGCCGAGACGACACGTCTTCCTCCGTCTGCCCTGATGTTGGTGTATCCGCAGATCTACTGCTTTTTTGTTCGTTTGTTTGGGCCACCCCCACCCCCACCCCCCATCCCCGAGATGCTCAGGGCTCCCGCCTGGCGCTGCACCCCCGGAGCACTCCTGGCCGCGCTCGGGAGACCCTCGGGGATGCTGGGACCCAACCCGGGTGGGCCTCGTGCAAAGCAAACGCCCCTCACGCTGTGCTGTCCAGCCTGCAGATGTGCAGCTCAGTGCCTGGGTAGACGCGCTGTTCCCGAATAGCATCATCCACGTCGTTCTGCCAAGCAGAAAACTTGAGTACCTTTTCTTCAATCTCTTTTCCTTTTTTTTTTTTTTTCTCTCGGCAATCTGGTTGTTCACTGGGGGTGGGGATTGGGACTGGTGGTGGTGGTGGTGGTGGTGATGGTGGTGAAGGTGAAGTAGGGGCGTGTGTTTCCTTTTCCTTCTGTGCTTGAGGCCTGTTATGCCATTGTGGTTGCACACATAATCACTCTCACTTTCATCTTTGGTAAATCCGAAGTTGGGCGGCGTTCAAGGCATTCAGGGTATGTTTACCAGTCGCAGTTGCCGTGTCCAAGTTCATTCTCTGATTGTACGGCTTTTCCAACCTCTGTTGGCGAGACTCCTTTCCTTATCAATGATCTTGACACTGTGTTGAAAATTAACTGACCCTATAAGCGTGGGGATTTTTTTTTTTTGGAGTGTGTTTTTAATAGAACTTCTAGACTATTTGCGGTGAACTCTCTGTCATGCTAATACCGTTCTGTGTTAATTACTGAATATTTGCAGTTTTGGGAGTTAGGAAGTTTGAGTCCTCCAGTCTACATCTTTTATAAGGTTTTTTTTCAGGGACCCTGCTTTGGCCTGGGTTCCTGGGGACTGTGCACTGCACTGTCTTCCCATTATTCATCGATTTGCTCAAGTGGGCACCAGTAATGTCTCACAACAAATTGTGAGACTTGTTACTGTTTTTGGCATATCACATTCGCCACGGATACCTTGCGGGATACTCTTTGGTAGCTTGTCCAAGAGGGGCGGACATATCCAACCCTGGTCAGCTGCATGCAAGGCGAACACCCTATCTGCTGTGCTATAACTCCAGGGATTATGGGGTACTATGCATGATATGGGGATATGGGGACTATGCCTGAGAGAGAAATCAAGCAGGTATCAGATACATGCAAGGCAAGCGCCTTACCCCCTATACTGCCCCTGGCCCACAATGTTGCTTTTTGTTTTTATTTGGGGCTCTGTGATATGCCATATAGATTTAAGGGTAAACTTTCAAGTTTCTAAGGAAAAGTCTAATTTTGATGGAGACTGTGTTGAATCTGTAGATCACTTGGGTATTAGTGAAATCTTACAAATGGTTGTCTTCCTGCTCATAAATACAGCATGGCTTTCCTTTTATTTGGTTCATTTATTTCTTTCAGCTATTTTTTCTAATGTTCCGAACATTTTATTTCTCCTTTGATACTATTTTAAGTGGGAATATGTGTCAATGTCCTTTTCGTCTTGTTTGTTTTGGATGTGTAGGAACATAGTTGATTATTGTAAGGGTCTTTCTCTTACTCTTATTGCTTGGCATGTCCCTGTGCTCACCTCACCTTGTAGGGGTTGTGTGTATCTCACGCCTTCTTTTTCCACTTCTTTGTCACTGGGCACTCTGGGTGTTCCCATATCTGTTTGTTTCTGGGTCATACCCAAGGGACTATTCGTGGCGTGGTGCTTAGGGTCACTCCCTGGGGAGTACCAAGGATGAACCTGGACCTCCTCCTTGCAAAGCGTGCACTCAGCCCATTGAGCTGTCTCGGAATCCTGCCTCCAGATAGTGACTATTATAAATAGCACTGCAGTGAACAAATGTGTGCATATCTCTTTGAGACTAGTATTTTTGTATTCTTCAGGTAAACTCTGAGTGGATTTGCAGGATCACATGGTAAACAAGCTTTAATAAAGGCTGCTCCAACTTATATTCCCACCGTCAGTGTGCACGGGTTTCATTTAATCATTTCTGGTTTTTTTGATAAATGCTGTCTTCACTCATAGGATGTAATATGTCTTCTTCAGAACATGTCTGTTCCACTCGTCACATTTTTTGAGTGGGGCCATACCTGGCAATCTTTGGGAGCTACTCCTGACTCTGTCCTCAGGGATCACTCCCATCTGGGCTGATGGACTATATGTGGGGGCATAGATTGAACCAGGATTGGCAGCATGCAAAACAACTATCTTAACCCCCTTGTACTATCTCCTTGGCCCTCTTCTCCCCCTTTTTTTTTTTTTGGTTTTGGGGTCACACCTGCTATGCTCAAGACTTTCTACGGATTCTGCTTGACAGGCCTGGGGGACCATATGCAGTACCAGGAATCGAACCTGGGTTGACTGCATAAAAGACAAGTGTTTAATCCACTGTACTGTCTCTCTGGCCCCCCTTTTATTTTTTCCTCTGTGGAAAGGTGCCCCAGCAGTGCTCAGGGATTGCTCCTGGCAGGTTTGGGGGGAACTACGGGGTACCTGGGATCCAACCCCAGTGGGCCATGTACAAGACAAGACCCTTACTGTCTCAAGCCCTGGTCTGCTTTGTGCCAGACAAATACTGTGCTCTCTTGGCCCCCCTCCCTTTTTTGGAATGGGGTTCTTTATTCTTTTTGCTGTTGAGTTTCATGAGTTCTAAATATATCGGATATTTGACCATTATCAACTGTACAGTGTGTTGGTTTTTCTCCTATTACTCCTGCTTTGCACTCAGGAATTACTCCTGGCGGGGCTCAGGGGACCATATGTAACGCTGGGAATCAAACCCAGGTCGGCAGCGTACAAGGCAAATGCCTTACTGCTGTACTATTGCTCCAGCCCCTATGTATGTTTTTCTTTCAGTGATAGTTTCATATGCAGAAAAGTTATAATTTCATGTGTTCCCACCTGTTTGTCCACTGTCCACTGTTCTCCCGTTGTTCATCGATTTGCTCGAGCGGGCCCAGTAATGTCTCCATTGTGAGACTCGTTACTGTGTTTGGCATATCGAATACTTCACCGGTAGCTTGCCAGGCTTTGCCGTGCGGGTGAGATACTCTCGGTAGCTTGCTGGGCTCTCCGAGAGGGGCGGAGGAATTGCTGAGGAGTCGAACCCGGCTCGGCCAGCCAGCCGGCCACGCACAAGCAAATGCCCTACTGCTGTGCTATTGCTCCAGCCCATCACTTGTTTATATTTGTTTTTATTTATTTATTTATTTTTTACTTTGGAGTTGAATCCCTAGAGACATTGTTAAAGCCAATATCATGTCAAGTTTTGCCCCTATTTTCTTCAGTCTGTTTTATGGTTTCAGTTTTGACATCTAATCTTTGCTCTGAGGATCCAGTTCCATTCCTATCAGTGTGACAGTCTGCTTTCCATAGCAGCATTTATTTTTACTGAGGTATCTGTCGTCCTTAGAGTCACCATCCCACAGTGTTCAAGGGTCCCCTAGTGCGTCAGGGGTGAATGACTGTGCCTCCTGCTGATGGATGAAGGAACAGGGGCCATGGACTGGTAATTCATGTGGTTGGTAATCAGTGGCTGTTTATTCAAATCTCTCAGCTTTAATTACAGAGAAATTGTAAAGGGTTGGGGGAATAGCAATTACACAGAGGTGTGATTGAACATCAATATGAAAGTGAAGAGGTGTAAAGCCCTGCCTTCAAGGGCAGTTCTTCCAGGAATCCACCCAAGGACAGAGTCTCATATAGGGTCTCCCGCACTCCAGATTCCTGCTAGGAGATCGGCCCAAAGCTGGAATTCCTTTCTCCTTTCTTTTGCTGGTATTCCATTTAAATTATCATATTTATTTACTTCTTAATAATATTTCTAGTCATTTTGTATGAACGCAGTAAGAGAGAGAGGCTTTCCCTATACCCTACATGAAGCTTAAAGGGTGGCTTCTTCTGGGAACATCTCGCTATATTTCCCAGACTTACAGTCCTCAGGTCAGTTAGTTTTTCCTCACTCTAACAAGGTCCTTATTCAGTTCCTTCTTTTTGGGTCATGCCAGAGTTTGTTCCATGGCACTTAGGCTGTCCCTTCTCAAAGCCAGGGTAGCTTACAGTTTGCCCTGGGTTCATCCAAGTCCCTCCATGGGACACATCTTCAGGATATTAGAAACTAAGGTCAGTCTAGGACAACTGAGGCTTAAGTCAAGTAAAAATATGACAGGTGCTGAGCAGTAAATATTATTCAGAATCAGTTAATTCCCATCTTACAAAAGCATAGCGTTAACCGTCTTCCCGTATTTATATAAAAAGGACATGACTCTAAAATAAAATGCAAAGGACGTAAAGGAAAGAGAAAAGCAGTATTTCACTTACATATACAAAACCCAGAGTCATCAGAGGGTTAGACTTTACATGATACAGTGTCTGATTTGGAGATGTTTGTGACTAACAGGAAGAAGAGTACAAAGGAGGAGTTAAATATAAACACTGAGGATTAGGAGTGCCCCATGGGATAGCCTCAGGAGCACTGTGATGGGTGTGACTCAACTAACCCAAGCTCCCTGTGAGAGGAGAAAGGACAGCCCAGTGTTAA